AACCAGCCCACCCACAGTGCTGTGTGCACTGATCACTTAACTCCTTGATAGAGGAGGAGCAATGAGATGGAGCTGAAGGAAGACAATTGGGCTGTTGAAGAAGTGCATTAATTAACTCGGCAGAACTTTAAACCTGTATCATAGTGAAGGAACAGAAACCACTTGGATGTGTAGCACCAGGAGAAAAGGTAGTGAATTATGCTCAGTGTTTAAGAGCCCCTGGGTTCAATTTCTAGTACTGAAAAAACAAAAACAAAACAAAACAACAACAACAAACCCCAAAAGCCTAAACTCCACAAATTGAATTAACTCTTTTCTCTCCCAAACTGCTCTTGATTTTGCACATCCTGCCTTGGTTCATGGATGGGAACACTGGACTTCAAAGGACCACTGTGACCTCTCTGACACCTCCTCATGTCCAAAACCGACTATGCCTTGGGTATGGTCTCTGTAGCAGCTCTCCAGTCCAGTCCCACTCCAGTCTGCCTTGACCCAGGTCCTCAACACCTGTCACTCATTCTGTGAAGTATTCTGATTGGGTCTTTTACCTCTAGGCTCCTTGTCCTCTCTTGTTTATTAATTAATATCAGATTTCATTGCTAGCCCAAATGGATGCATTGCAGTTAATAAAATAAACCAGGAATGATTACTAACAGAGTGAGTTTGGGCCAATATTTAACCTCTCCAGGACTTGGCTTTTATTTGCACTGCAAAATGAAAGGAGTAATGGTTTCTACTTTCAAGGCTTATTGTGAGAAATAAACAACTTGGAAGCACTTGGAACCTTACCCTACCTGCAGTGTGTGCATCAGGTGAGTCATTGTCACTGGTAATTCTGGCCAAAGGGAGACTAGCTAGTTCCATTGCATCTTTGGAGTTCTGACTGTCCCACAGGAAAAACCCCAGGTCCCTGGTCTGTGCTGCAGAAAAACAATGTGGGTAATCTACTCCTTCATCAGGTAGGAAGTAAGCTTCAGAGAAAGAGGGGTACAAAAAGAGGATAAAAATAACTGACGGAAGTCAAGGAGAGGGGCAGAGGCTCTGGAGGCCTTGTTTTCTGAATGAAGACAGAAGTCTGTCCTTATTTATATCTCTTTGAGGCCAGAAGTGTCTCAGGGGATTTTCCCCACTGGTTCCCATCTTTCCCTGAAGCCCGGGAGACGCCTTCGGGGTTGGTGCCACCTCATGTCTATCAGGTCTGGGTGCAGACCTGCAGGAACCACCTCCACAGGATGCGTTTCAGACACTGGTCCTCACTCCCTGGCGAAATGCCCAACTGCTTCTGTGACACCACAACAGAGATTTCTCCACAAATCTCRGAACCCTCTGCCACAGTGTATTAAGATGACACTTAAAAATAGCTTTCTTTCCTATGAGGTTAATACAGTCTGACTGCAAAATGAAAAATTCACCCATTCCAGACTTCCACACTGTATCTCACTTAGCTTCAGACAATAATTTCACAAAGACAAACTGGAAGTTGTATGTAAACTCTGGCTTTTGCTTCTTTCTCCACAGTAAGTCTGGGCTGGAGATGTTTATATGGCCATCATTCAAAGCACCCTGCTGCATGGGTGTTTGTGGCTGGGTTTCTTTTTCTTTTTTTTTCCTTCCCAGCCCAGCAACATCTGTGTCTTCTCTTCTGGTGTGTCTGCCTTAGCTGGTTGGAAGTTAGCCAGAGATCGAGAATTTTGAGGGTGGTACAACTTTTAGGGCCACTACTGACTGACACCTGAATTTTTTTTTTTTAACCTTGAAATAAACACCTGGTAGATAGTGTGACCCAGGCTCAAATGAAATTCATGAATACATTTAATGGATTTAAATTAATGGATAAGGTTGGAAGCTTTCCCTGCACATGTACACAGAGGGTCATTTTTTACTAGTTTTTTTTTTCYCCCCTTTGGGTCTTTTTTTAAGAAAAAATTGGAATCATTCTAAAAAGTAGCCCGAGAGGGATGAAATCTGTTCACCATCAACAGCACATCTGACATTCAGTGCTTTGATATGTCTTGCTAAGCTACATACAGCTTCATCTAGTGCAGTGTCATGACGGAATGCTGCTTGACTACAAGGTCAAGGTCAGACTAGGGATCTGACGGGAAATAAATAAAGACCACCCGGCTCCCAGGCCCTGTAAGTGGGACAAGCTAACCCTGCCCCTCATAGTCTGCCTATCTTGTAGGGAAAAGCCCACCCTGCCTGGCAGGGCAGGTTCTGGCTTTTGTCCTTTGGCTGTCATTTCTGTCACTTCCAGTCATGGGAAGAAGCTACTGGAGAAGGAGAAAAATGGTTTCTCTGAAAACTATAAGCCTTCCAACAAACCTACAGTTGGTTCTGCTTTTAATCTAGCTGGTGGCCATATATACAGGCATGACTTAACTTGTCTAAAATGATCAGTCCCAATTTAATGAGAATCACGGGGTGTTATAAATCCAGGGGGTGAAAACCCAAGCAAAGGAAAATGCAGGCTAACTGTCAGGGAAAATTTCCTGATCATGAGCCTGGAATGAGGATGGGGGAAGTGTGGTTGTTGTGGTCAGTGCCTTCAATTAGACTGAGGAACGGTGGGTGGAAAAAGAGCCCACTGTAGCCTCTTCCCTCGCTCAGGTCTCACTGGGCATCCTCACAGAAACTGTGCTCACCTGATCGTTCATGGAATACATGAAGGAAATAAGTCCAGGGCAATCCTGTGAGATGTAGGATTCTGGTCACTTTTTCTGGGGAGCAGCTAGGAATCTTCCCAGGGCCTGAGAAAAGTTTTGCTAGATGGAGATGTTCTCCCCAATTAGAGGGAATGAAAGGTGGGAACAGTGTAGATAGGTCTTTCTCCATGAGTTGCCTGTCCCTATCATTTATCTGAATTTCTCTGTCTTCCCTGCTCCAGGCCTTGAAAACCTGCTTCTATACCAATGGGCTTCCTTTGACCAATAGGTAGCACTGGACMCAGAAAGAGATGAGAGCAAGCGGAGGTGCTTATTCCTCCTGCCCCTTCCACCTCTTCAGCAATGGCTGCAATTGTATGAGGCCATGGATCTGAAAACATTTTCTGGAAAGGGCCAGAGAGGAAAGATTGTAGGCTTTGTAGGTCAAGAGGCAAAGCTGAGGATATTATATAACCATATAATACTTGACAATGTCAAAACCATCCTTTGCTTGTGGGCACACACCAGGTGATGGGGCAGGGTTAGATTGCCTATTCCTGCCTATGGCCATAGCTCCAGATGGGTACTCTCTTCTCTAGAGCTGTGGCTGTCACTGGGCTCTAGTGTCACCATATCCTCCTTGCCCTACAGGCCTAGGGGTGCAACAGATCGTGTTACTAGGGCCTGGGGCCTCTCTGCCTCTGTGGGGTCTTTAACCCTGCCTACCCTTTTTAGCTCAACCCTTTGGAGTGTGCCTTGTTTCAACACAGCACTGTGATGATCTCTGTGAGAAAGTTCAAGAAGGGAGAGCAGAATTATGGTGCCACACGAGGTTAAATGTTTTGTCCCAGGGGCTAGCAAGTAACATAGGCACTGTAGCCAGAACAGGGCTCAGCATGGAGCATGCATCTTGTTAAAACTATACAGGGCTGAGGTTCCGATGGCACATCTGTCTTTTTTCCAAATCAAGAGTTCACATTATTACTTTTTTTWAAAAAATATTTTGTTTTAGTTGTAGTTGAACACAATACCTTTATTTTATTTTTAGAGGGTGCTAAGGATCAAACCCAGTGTCCCTGCACGTGCTAGGCGAGTGCTCTACCCCTGAGCCACAACACCAGCCCCTACACTATTACTTCTGAATTCTTTTCAGCACTTCTATTCTTCTTGTTCCTGCCTTTCCTCATGCACTCAGCCAAGATAAACATTAAATGGCCTCTTTTTCTCCTCCTTCCTCCAAGATGGCAAGAGGAATGTCACCTTCCTGGACAGAGAGTATTAATGTGAGCTGTGTGGTTGGGCTGGCATGATGCTCTGGGAGTGGTTTCATAATTATATTGCATGCTTCAGCTCTTTAACAAGGTTTGGTGGAGTCCCTCTCTCTGCCTGGCACAGTGCTGTTTACTGAGGCTTCAAAGCATAATTAATCGGTGCCTGCCAGGGGTGAAATCTGGTGGAGAGAAAGCTCATAAACCTGAGTAATCACAGCAATGGCTCTCACCCATCTCCCACCTAGCAGAAGGAGTGAGGAAGTGTTGGCATTACCTGCTCCATAGGCAAAAAGCACTCTTACACTTTTCTTGTGTCTTAATGAGGGAGTCCTGCCCAGGTGCTCAGCAAGTCCACCAGCCGCACAGGCTTTTTCCATTATGCTTTCTAGGTGATTCCAAGACACTGGGATTCCCAATCACTTAACAATAAACCAGCAGTGGTGTTGGTGACGACAATGTCCCCACAGTGGAAATCTCATGTGGATCTCCTTGATGAGATTCCTGACAAATCACTGAGGTCCGGCCATGGCCTCTCTACCTATTTTAATAGTCCAGGCACCACAGTTCCTGTCCTCTGAGAACTCCCTATGGAATGCTGGCTGGAACCTTTAGTGACAACTTCTCTAATGCCTTATTAAAACCCAGGTGACCGGGCTCTACCACTGAAATTTCTGATTCAGTGGATCTTGGGTGGGGCCCCAAATATGCACTTCTTAGGTGATGCTCATGTCGCTGGTCTGGGGGAACCAGACTTTAAGAGCCAGTGACTTGACAGAAAGAGGAAGGAGGAAGCTCAAGAGGCAGGACTCTGGAAGAAGTGGTCAATGGGGTGACCGAAGACTACCAGTTAGGGAGTTTGGATGTGAAATCGGAAAATGGAGGCATTGGGGGAACAAAAGGATATCTCATTTGATGAGACAACGTGGGCAAATTGTGAAGGCCAATATGCTTTTGGAGATTTTTTTGTGAGACTCTGGGTTTTGAAAGCACTTATATTTTGAAAAGACCTCCAGGTGATTCTGATACTCAGCCAGGTTTGAGAATCTCTGTATATTCAGTATCTGGTGCATAGAAGGCACATGACAAACCTCATTGAACCACTATTAATTCCAAGAGGATGTTGGAATGTTTTGGGGATTTTTTTTTTTTTTTTTGGTATGGGGAATTGAACCCAGGAGCACTTAACCACTGAGCCACATTTCCAGCTGTTTTTTTTTTTTTTTTTAATTTTATTTAGAGACAGGGTCTTGCTGAGTTGCTTAGGGCCTAGCTAAGTTTCTGAGGCTGGCTTTGAACACACGATCCTCCTGCCTCAGCCTCCCAAGCCACATGTTTTTGGATTTTTAAATGTATTTGTCCATATCTTTATTTATTTTAGGAAGCTCAGTCCTAAACTACCAGTTAACAGAGGAATAACATGCACTCAGGCAGAAAGTGGCTTCTTCAAACAGAATTCATGTTCTCTCAACGTGCAAGATTATAGAAACACAAATTCAGCTATAACCAAAGATACCGTGTTAGTCACAAAGTACAGATTCCTCAAAACAACATAATAGAAAATTCCCTTTCTTCTTCATCTCCGAGAATCTCCTTGGCTCCTTCCTGTCTGAACAAGTATGCACGCCACTGCATGTTCCCCATTAGAAAAGAATCAGGAGCAAACAGCTGTTCTTCACGCAAGTTGCCTCTCGCCCACATCTTCCCAGAGTTCAGCCCACTGCCTCAGGGGGAATCTTATCTTAAAAAAGAATCTCACTGCTTTAAACATGGCAAACCAAAGTGGAAATGCATTGCAATTCGTGGTGAACCCGAGTGAACTTGGCTGAGAAAAAATGACTACCAATGAAGTTTTCATTCCACTGTTGGAAATGGTATTTCTTTTGATTTTGTAAGAGAAGTGCTGATCCAAAATTAGCAAATAACTTAGTGAATGATAACAATTATTTTTGTTGTCATTCGGCAGGGGTAAGTCTGTGTGTGTGTGTGTGTGTGTGTGTGTGTGCGCACACATGTGCACATAGGGTGGCCTGGGAGGCTGGCTCTCATACCCTTCCACATAAGGTTCTGGAGTGGGCCCAGTCTGTTTGCAGCATGGAACTAGAGGAATGTGGCCCTGAGCTTGGGCTTTGAGTTCTAGTCCCCAGCATAGCATGGGACTTTGCCTATCTGTTTTCTTCTCTATGAAACGAGGGCATTGTGTCTTTTCAATTTGATATTTTCTAGAGCTTTCTGAGAATTGGCACAGATGCTTAAGGACAAGGGTGAGAGAAGGGTTGATCCAATCATGTGAATTCAAAGCCATTTGCAACCCGGAGACAAAGAGGTCCTCAGGAAGCATTAACTGCTTCTTGCAGCTTAACCTTCCTACGAAGCCATGAGGATTTTAAGATCTGGAGCTGTGGGGGGGAAGGAAAATGGTACAAAACTTTCAAAGGAGATTTGCTCTCAGCCAGGAAGAGCGAGTCCTAGAGGGAATCATCTGGAGACAAGAGAGACCTACCTTGATGGGAGAGTACCACTTCCGGGGCGAAGAGGGCCGGCGCATATTGTTGTTGAGATTTCGAGGCTCAGGGAACTCATACTCCTGCTCCGGCATCTTCACTCTTGCATTCTTTGCCTTTTCTAACTTGGCCCCTTCTTCTGTGGATCCCTTTTCTCCCCAACGAACCTAATACAAATAAAATAAAACAAGACAAAGTGAAAAAAATAAAACAGGCTGCTCTTGGGGAATAAGGCTGACAAATAACCATGTGATGTGCCCTGCATGTGCGACCCATGCCTCATTGCCTGTGGGTTTGGAGGGCCAGGGAAGAGGGGCGCTGTGGAAAAAAAGGAGAGTGGAAGGAACAGAGAGCCCAAGCCATGGGTATGGCTATTTAGGGGAGGAACTGTCCCGGCAGTGGGAGAGCATGTGTAGAAGGCCAGGCAAGGCCAGGCAAGAACTTTGGATGCTATTTTAGTGAGAAAAGAAACCAGTGGGGGAATTTGTCCTATGTGTGACCTTGCTCTGACTCACGGGGGTAAGATGGGCAGGTGCACAGTTAAAAGGTTGCACCTCTCATCTCTCCATCCTCCTGCCTCACAATCCACTTCCCCACCAGACCAAAAGCAGGAGATGTCGCCATTTGCTTTGGGTCCCCATCATGGTGTAGACAGAACGAGAATAAGTATGCACCAAGCCGTCCTCTTACCTCCATCCTTTTAATTCCTCCAACGCCTCGCCCACCATAGTAAGATGCATCTACTGTGGGCCATTTTTTCTTGGGTAGACCATCATCATCTTCTTCCTGCAGAGAGATTGTGATACATTAAGGACAAGGCACTGTTCCATGTGTCTGGGGTCCACGATGGCAAGGTGGGGGTGGGTGGGAGCAGAGGTTGTGGAGTATAGAGCTAAATCCCAGGGCTTACTGGGATCCTGGGAAAGTCACATAACCTATCCATATGCAATCAATCAATCAATCAATCAATCAATCAATAAATAAATAAAAGCAGGCCTGCCAGGGAAGGCTGGGATGCACTTCTGGGACCTGTTTTCCTCGGCAGCTCCATTCCTTTGAAGGGTGCTATGGTCTGAATGTGTCCTCCAAAGTCCATGCAGAGGCACAATCCCCAATGCAAGAGTGTTAGGAGGTGAGGCCTAACAAGAGGTAATTAGGTCAATAGGGCTGTTCCCTCAGGAACAATGTCATCTGGAGAACAGGTTAGTTATCAAGAGTGGCCTTTTTAGGCGAGTTGGGCCTCCTCTTGCACATACTTTCTTGCTCTTCTAACTTCTACCATAGGATGACCTAGTAAGAGAGCCCTCATCAGATGTGGGTCTCTTGACCTTGGACTTCACAACCTATAAGTCTCCGGCACTATTCATAATGAATTTATTTTCTTTATAAATCATCCAGTCTCCGGCAGTCTGTTATAGTGGCAGAAACCACACCAAGATAAAGGGCTTCTCATCTTATCTTGCCCACATGCTGATGAATTAGTAGCCCTGACTACTCTGAACTCTTAATGTGACTTCATATTCATGTCTTCTCTTGAGAGCTAATAAACATCTCAAGGACATTAAGGCAAAGAGAAATCCTGATTTCCCCCACCCAAACCCATTCCTCCTATCATCTTCCCTACTGCCTGAGAATCACTCTTGAATTCTCCCTTTCCCTCTGCTACCCCTTTTACACCCCATCCCAGTTATCAGCTGGTTTTGTCAATCCTACTTGTAAATGATCCCTCCACCTCCGTCTCCCTCTCCACCACCGTCTCCCTCTCCACCACCCTGGGCACAAGGCCATGTGAGCTTTCACCTGGATACAGTAGAGTCCTCCTAACGAACCAAGCTGCTGCCTTCCTACTTGTCTATAATCCATTGTCTGCACAGCAGCATAGCAAGTCCAAACTCTGCTGCCATGCCTCTGCTCACCCTCCAGCCTCTCCCCCACCAGCATCCTCTGCCTGCATTCCAGCCCACTTGCCATTTTCTGCTCTTCAAATACTCTGAGCACACTCCTGTCTCGTGGGCCTGAGCTCAAGCTGTCCTCTTGTCAGGGAATGCTCTTCCCTGTCTTCTTTCTGGTCACTGCTTAGGGAGGCCTGAACATTCTTCTAAAAGTAGCCCCAGTCTACTGGTTTAATTTAATTTATTTATTTGGTACCAGGGATTGAACTCAGGGTCACTCGACCCCTGAGCAATATCCCCAGCCCTATTTTGTATTTTATTTAGAGACAGAGTCTCACTGAGCTGCTTAGCACCTTGCTTTTCCTGAGGCTGGCTTTGAACTTCTGATCCTCCTGCCTTAGCCTCCCAAAGCTGCTGGGATTACAGGCATGTGCCTTGCTACTGGTTTTATTTTTAACTTTGGATCCTATCATGGTTTGAAGTTTCCCTTGTCAATCTCCCCACATTAGAAGGTAAGTTCCACATAAATTTTGTTGGTTGTGTTCACTATCACGGGGTGCTCCAGGGATTATGATGGGATACATTCAGATATACCCACAGTGAGATGGAAATCTTGAGTTGAAAATGCATCTAACACACCCAATCTACTGCTCACCACAGCTTGGTGGCACAGTGCACTGTAGAGTAGTGACATTTCCCCTGGTGATCGTGTGGCTGACTTGGAGCTGTCACTCGCTGTCACTGCCCACACTATAAGGAACTATCATATTGCATATGGCTAGCCAGGGAAAGACCCAAACTCAAAATCTGAACTACAGTTTCTACTGAATGTGTATCACTTTTGCATCACTGTAAAGCTGAAAAATTGTAAGTTGAACCATTGTAAGTTGGGGACCATCTATTATCTCCACTTTTGGAATAGCACTACTTAACAGGAGGTAGGTGCCTGTTGAATTTGTAAAGAAAGAAATAAGATGCCTCAAACAAAGCAGCCAAGTCAATGTCTGTGACTTAGCTCAGGGGCAGGATGTTGGTCCTTATATCTTTTAAGATGAAGGGTAAAAACAAGAGGATCTTGTAGTTTTATGGGTGGAAAGGGAAGGATAACTAGCAAAACTGCTATTCATCTTGTCGCTGTAATTATCCCTGTTGAAGGAGAAAAGTGTCACTATTCATAGTCACAAATGGATTATGAAGAAGTGCCTGATTTCTCTCCTGGGCAGAGAAAGGAAGGTGAAAAGGAGGTTTGTAAAGCACAGGAAATGCGCCAAAGAAGACCAAATTGCTCAAAATGCCTAAGCCTGCTTCTCACAGCCTTGGTGGGTGGCATTTGGGGAGTCACACTCAGGGTGGAATCCTACATAAGGCCACCACTGTGTGAAGAGGGGCATTTTATGCTGGATGCAAGGCACAAAGCAAGAAAAAGCAATCAGCAGAAGGCGGGGGTGGGGGTGGGGTGTCAGGGCCAGAGGTTCCAAAGCAAGATGGGAACACATTAGCACATTGAGACTCCTGGAGTCAAGTGCTGTGCTTGGGATTGTCTGGCTTCTTTAATTTTTTTTAAAATAAATTTAATATATATTTTTTTGTTGTTCTGGGGATTGAACCAAGGAGTTCTTTACCATTGAGCTGCATTCCCCACCTCTTAAAAATTTTGAGATAGGGTCTTGTTAAGTTGCTTAGGGCCCCACTAAGTTGCAGAGGCTGACCCTGAACTTGTGATCCTCCTGCCTCAGCCTCCTAAACTGCTAAGATTACAGGTGTCTGCCACTGTGCCCAGCTTTAAATTTAATATATATCTTAAAGGACACAGCGATCATAGCAGACTAGGAGATTTGCAACACTTGGGTATCTTCCTCTCTTTTCCAAATAGATCTGTACTTCTTCCCCATGGGACTGTGATCCCTGAATGCAGAGTAGATTTTCTTGACCTTTGTATTCTAAGTGCATGGGAGGGGCTCAAAAAGCACACACTGAATTCATGATCACACCACTGAGTTTATGCAGCCTTTACCATTTATGTGCCAATCACTCTTCTAAGTGTTTTCATGTAACTATTTAATCTCACCACCGGCCAGGGAGAAAGGCAGTGTTATTATTCGCATTTTAGAGACTATGAGTAGAGGACTAAAGGACCAAGCCCGTCCTTTAGTCCTCTGGCCACAGCTTGCCTGCCAAATTCAGCAACAACAAGCACAAAAGTGACAGGTCCCTCAGCTTCAGTGCTGGATTTGAACTCTGGCAGCCTCACTGCAAGTTCTGGGTTTTGTCCCTTTGTGTTTTGYTTTTCCCATCATTTGTTGGTATCAGATAAATGCTGATTTTCTACTTCTCATTCCTTGTACCTGCCTATTGTGATAATTTATGACTACAAAATATGACAAAATTTATAAATAAAGTTTATATATAAAACTAAGACCCCCCCAAATAATAAAATACCAGTTGAGTATTTTACCTTTCTGTCAAAGCAGGAATCTTATATATCTTACAGATGTGGCTTCACATTACCAGTAAAGGTGGACATATAGYTATGTCTCTGCACGGATACATAAACAATAGTGTGAATCCACAGAGCCTAAACCCTGATTTAGGACAGTTTACTAAAAGAGATAACAGAAATGCTATCTCCTACAATAGAATACATCGGCACCAAGAATGTAAGAAAGTGCATTATTCAATAGGGGACTGAAATGAACATGAGTCTCCTAATTTTTTAGATTACAGGAATGCAAACATCAGAGACCATCTAGGGGGCTTTTTCATTGCACAGAAGATGACTATAAGACCTAGAGCAACAGAAGTGACCGATATAGAGGTCTCCTGAGGCCTTGTCCAGGGATAGCACCCGTATGCTGACACCCCCCCCCCATACTTTATTAAGAATTCCAAGAACAATTTAGAATTATTTTTCCTCTAATTCTCAAACTGCCTAATGCTTAGGTATAATAACAAGCATAAAGCTGCCTTCCTTGCACATCACAGAGCCCTTCCACTCATCTCTCCACTCTCCAGTGGGGCGGGGCCCTGGGGAAGGAGGGCGGGTCATCCCTGGGAGCATGCGCAGGACCCGGTGTTCGCAACAGGAAATGCCTAGATGTAAAAAGTCTGCTCCACATGCTCCTGATCACCAAGCCCGTCCTTTAGTCCTCTGGCCACAGCTTGCCTGCCAAATTCAGCAACAACAAGCACAAATCAACACAAAGGCCTAGGGTTTGACCAAGGGGAGAGTCAGAGTTTCCTCTGTAGCAAGCATGGGTCTGTTTACACATTTTGGAGACTGGAGGGTTTTGCAATCCCCAGGAAGGGTAGGAAATCTTTGATGTTTCTTTTCATTTGACCAAAAAATTGATGGAATAAAATTTCAGACCCCAGCAAGTCCACTATAACAATCAGTAATACCTGGGGGTGAATTTCTACAACTAAGTAAATTAGAAAGCCTCTTGGGACATTTTCCCTACCCTGCCTTTTAAAGATGTATCTAGAAATTCTCAGTTTTCTCTCAAATCTCCCTCCCCATCTCTTTCTTTCTTTCTCTTTTAAGCAAAAAAACAAAACAAAACAAAAACAATTTTGATGTCCTCAAAGGGTACTGGGGACAGGACTGGCTAAGACATATTGTTTTATACGAGCAACTAGCAGGAATCTGGGGTTTCGGCAGAAGAGGAGCAGAAAAAAGTGGAACTGAACTACCAGCTAACTGCTAGGGGACACTGGCAGAGGTGACCTAGAGTCCCTTCCCAGTAGTGGGAATGACAGGGACAGAAGAGGATGTCAGAAGTTATGTGCTGGCTGCACTGTGTGGTCACCCAGCCCCATACTTTGGTGAAAGCCCCTCTGTAGGACTGGGGTTTGCCAGACTGGAGAGATGACCTAAGGCAGAAAGAGCAAGGAGTA